CCTTCGGCATTGGCAAGAGCAGCCTCCTGGACTGCTCGCACGAGTCAGGAGGCACACCCGGTAGTACATAGGAAGTTCCCATGCACTTCACGGGCAGGTAGTTGTCAGTAGGCACGAGTAATCTTCAGGATTCGGCCGCAGCACTCAGGAGGAGCGCTGCAGGAGCCTTCAGCGCTAGGCAGTAGTATTAGCGCTAGTAGTAGTCTTCGGCGCTGGGCGCCCATAGCCATAGCTGTAGTCTTCAGCACTGGGCGCTATAGGTGGTAGATCGTAGAGTTGGAAGAGACGGCTGGCGGAGGCCAGCGGTACTTACCTGTGGCGCCATAGCTCCAGCTCCATCTTCTACGTACCTGCATCAAGGCGCCAACTTCACAGGTTAGTACTGGACACAGAGAGAGAGAGAGAGAGAGTTCTTCTTCTTCCTCTTCTAAGTCCACCATCTCTTCTCACCCTCTCGCCACCTGACTTCTCAGACTACGACAGAGAGAGAAAGAGTTGTGACTTGAGACTTGACGACATTGGATCCAGACTGGACATTTGGGATTCAGACATTTCGACGAGGGACTATTTGGGCCTGTGCCAAGACTTGGTGTTGACGACATTCCCATCTTCCCCTCCTCTTCATCTAACCCCTCCTTCTTCGTCTGTGTATGGTTGGGGCTGGCGAAGTCTTCTTGTGTGAAGCGCCAGACCCCCTTCACACAGATAACGATGATGATGATGTGTGTTCAGGGCTGCATTGCAATATTGATTGTTCGGATCATTAGTATCTAAGTCTTCCGCTGTGTTATCTTGTACTTTGTATTGAGAGGTCGGTTCTTGTTCTGGTCTGCACGTTACAGTATGCAACAGACACTCTGGTAACACAGGTCAGGACCATCTTAGCTGACCAGGCCACGGAAGGTCCCTGAAAATAATAATAATAATAATAAAAAACTGAAAAAAAAAGGTCATGGCAGTGTGCAGAAAAAATAAACCGAACAACCTTTGCCTCGGCGTCAAATCGAAATTCCTTAACTACTGCACATGAATGTGAAGTTGTGAACCGATGGTACCAAGATCAACTGAGTTGAGGGAACATATGCAAAGAGCACAACGCACCTTCACACCAGTCGCAGCCAATGTAAAGCCTGCAATGCGCCGAAAGAGAACCACAGCACAATGAAGGTTAGAGGTTACTTTCCTGTCTTCGTAAACCAACAAAACCTTTCTTGTCAGAATTGCATACATGTGGCACACGCAGTACAACCCACCACTGCAGTGCATATAGTGGACATGCACGGAAAGTACTCCCCCTGCTCCTGTTACTCAAAACAGGAAGGCCCAGATTAATTTTTGCAGTGAGACTCCGAGAGCTTATTAGAGGTAAAGAATGAAGTTCAATGAACTGTAAACATTTCGGACCAATGGAAGGAAAACTCAACTGGATGCCAAAGAACCCAGAACATAGCATTCTAATAGCTAGATAGATTTCTGCAGGCAACATAAACCTTGCAGGTGAGAGCCTTACAACAGCCGACTAAATGTCCTCTTATGAACTAGTGCAGTTGCGAGGCATTGATCAGCTGCGTTGAGAGCCGAAACACAAACGCATGTTCACATACCACTCCTATCACGCCCACTTATGATCATACTTCGACCTCTCTACTCCTGGCTTTTGTACAATGAACATGAATGAAGGCTTTTTTACAATGGAGTATTTGCAAAGAACCATGTTTCAAATCTGCAAAGAAACAGCCTAGGGTCGTAACTTTTGATCCAGTCAGTGTTCGGGGGCCAAAAGTGGCACTAGCATCCCTTGATCGGCGCCAGAGTATCATCGAGTCAAAAGGTACCGGGTCTGGGGTCAAAAGAGGGGTCCGTGGACCCCAGAACCGGTAGTAGATCTCACGAAAGTCAGGAGTCGGTCCCAACTTCGGCACGGCAGTTCAAGAGCAAAAAAATTCTCAGGAGTAGACACACATGCGCAAAAAAATGGAAACAGTTCATAAATTATGGTAGTAAATACTGAACTGGGTTGCACCTGACTCAAGCCTTGTGGTAGTACTTCCACTCAACAATGACTGATACTGAACGTCCTGCGCAGGCACACATTAGGCACACATTGAGGGTTCTAATGTGTGCATCCCCTTCACATAATTCCCAGAGTCCCATGGATGTAAAATACGATAAAACAAGCACTGGATTCAGGGAGAAGTGTGAGAGGAAGCCAACACACACACTCACACCCAGACTCTGATGCACAGCTCAACCGGTACAATGAACAGATGCTCAGAGAATGGTCTGAACCAGAGTACAGCAAGAGATGTCAGACGTGTGTTACCGGTACATATAATTGGGATGGTCTCAGTGGTATCTCTGGAATGCTGGTACCGACGGAAAATGTGACGTATATACCAAGGACATGCCAAAATAAATGTTTGGCAACCACCATGCGGTACATGGATCAAGCCTCTGAAAGATCTGTAACATGCCAGCAGTTTCAGTTCCGGCAACAAGATGAAAAAGAGAGCCAATGGAAGAAGGCCTTTCTCACCTCTCTGGATCATATGGCTGACAGCAGACATAGCAAACGCGTCCACCAAGGCTCATTGATTCCTTGAGCTTCTTTTTCAGAAGCTTCTTCTCCTCTGCGGAAACTGAAGGTGGCTGCCTTGTGGTCGCCCCACCTGGCCTTTTTGCCCCTTCAGCAGCACCGCCAATCTGCTCACCTTCCTGAACCACCACACCATTTGCCGACGTCTGCTTCTTCTTCCCAAATGCTCCTTGCACAGGTCTCTTGACCTTTTTGGGTGGTACTGGAATGACCCCATTCTCTGCAGCAACGATCATCCCCCCCTCCCCAGAAAACATAGGAAACCCGCCAAGAACGACTTGCTCACAATTTTCTGTTACGGAAGTCACCTTCTTCCTCTTCTTCTTCTTGTTCTTCGTCTTGAGCGCATCTTCAGGTTCTCCAATTACACCAGCACTTTCTTCAGCTACAGTTGTTTCATCCAGATTTTCCAAGGAAGGGATTGCCTTGGCCTTTTTCCTTTTCTTACTCGTTCCAACTGCTGCTGGCTTCATAGGATCGCCACCTCCTACTGTATCCCCTCCTTTCAATGGGTCTCCTGACTCTGAGAGAGGCTCTGATTTGGCTGCATCGGTTCCATTGACAACTGTGGCTGAACCAGCTACGGCAACCTTCCTAACCTTCTTCCTCTTAGGTTTTATGCTTGACTCATCAATCCCATCAGCACCACTCTTCTCCATATTTGGAGCATTTGCCTTATTCTTCTTCTTTGCTACCTTCATTGGTGCCTCCCCATTCTCCACCACGGTTTGTTTTCCAACCTCTTTAATGAAATCAAGATGCTCTTCCCCAACCAGGTCCTGTGACAGTTCCCCCTTCTCATCCATTTTCCCATCATCGCTTGAGGCCTGTACAGCTGCCCAGCTCTCCATCTCCATCCTTTTCAGTGATGGCTTCCGGATACGCTGGCCCTCCTTCCCACAGGACGGAGACTTTCCATAGCACTGCTTACAAAGATACTGGACACCAGACCGCTCCATCCAAGCCGAGACAACCTGCATGCAATCCCGATGGAAAACCTCTGTGGCACAACAATTCAAGACGGATGTCAAGAGACCCCCAAACCGCAGGCATTTGTTACATATGGGCAAGGTCGTGAGCATGCAAGGCAAAAACCATGTAAGGTTACACAAAACATCAACAGACAACATTAAGGAACTTCATCGTGCAAGGTGGAGAGCGTAGTCTATACTTATCGAACCATCAACCACAGGTGATCGGAGAGAGTAATCTGGCTCACTAGCCTCTAAGTGACTGTGATTATAGTGTGGCAACAATGTACATGGTAAGTGAAACCATCATTTATTTGCACACAAATGACTGAAGCTTTGAAAACATATATGCAAATTTCCCTAAGCTTCGCCCTTTTTTTTTGTTTTCCTTTTTTCAGTTATCAAATTTGGTGTTTTGTTATTCCTAGTTGTTACAAAACACAAAGGGTCCAATGGACAAAATTGTTCTATTTGAGTGTAATTTCTTTCTTGTTGGTTGAGTTGAAGAGGCTAGTAGCGAGTACATTGGCGCACAACAAGGATGTCATGGTCAGCCATTACGTAAAGGATGTGGCTTGCACTTTTGTTTGTGAAGGGGAGAAAGACTACGCTGGGCCGTCGCCCAGCCAGGCATGCCCGGGCCAGTTGGGCAGGGGGGATTAGCCCGGCAAAACCAGGCAGGGAAAAAAAGAGGGAAGGAACCCCAAAAAAAGGAAACAGACTTCAGGCCAGGACTGCGCTCAGCCTGAGCAGTCAGAATCTGGCCTTACATTCCATTTCGGTAGTGGGTCACCAACGGGTGTTTGGGGGGTGTAAAGTTACTCTAAACAGTGACTAGAGGGGTTTAAAATGGTATACCTTACCTCTGCGAGGAATTGGTTCCTCGGCAGGCCTAAGGGGCCCTGCTACAGAAGTGCCCGCCCTAAGTGAAGGCTGGCCTAACAAATCTCGAGAGGCCCTCTGCTGTCAATTTCGTATTTGGGGTCCAGGCAGTTGTGACGCGCCAGTTGGTTGTGGGGAAACACAGGCCGAGCAGCAAAGACATTCCACAGCCTTCCCGCCCGAAAATGAACACCCTGGGCAAGAATCGCAGCCTCATACACAGACAGTTGGGAGGCCCAACCGAATGAGGCCCAGCAGCTGCAACAGAGGCCCAGCCTCCTGGGGCCTACCGGAAGCTTCTGCGCAGAGGCCCAGGCCGGCCAGGCCGCCAGGGCAGGCAGGCTCTTTCCATACAGGAAAGAGCTCGCTGCCTGGGCTGGTATTCAGGCACTTGCATGCTAGCGGCAGATAGGGAGTAGAGAGATAGAAACTATGGTGACTGCTGAGGTGACATGAGGTGGCACAACCTACAGATGCGCAGATGTACTTATTGTTATTCCAGACCAGCAATTGAATGCTTCAATGGTCTTCAGTAATGATTGACCAGAAGAGGTCGTATGAGGTGGGGCCAGAAGGGAGATTGCTCTCTCTCTCTCTCTCTCTCCCTCTCTCTCTCTCCCGTGCGCGCGGCAGTCTGCTGCTTCTAGTTATCTCGTTTTGGCCTTCCACTGGCATGAGTTGAGATGGAAAAGTGTTCATTTGTGTTATACAGGCATGAGAAGAGCAGTATGCAAATGGCACTTGGAGGTTCATCGCACTTCGATGTCACCCTGCTGCCTACACACCTTTCACATGGCATGATGGCACAGAACGTGGTTAGGTTAAGGTTCATTCTCTGCTCTGATCACCCCACAGAGTCCTGCTAACATCCACCAGTGTTGGTCGGAACTGGGATCGGACACTTTTAGTTAGCACACGACTGACAATCCCAGCTCTTGACTGCTGCTTTGCAACCAAGCTGGCTAGGACCATCGGAATCAACATGCAAACACTAATCCAGCAGCATTTCAACAAAAAACAAACCGCTCTTCTTGCTGTTCCATGTGAGACATTGTGGGCCTCCTGTGAATAACATCTGAACAGTTACCTTGGGCAGTGTCCTGGAGATTACCTTCCATACGGCACAGCCCTGTGAAGATATTGCAGTGTGAGTTGGCAATCTAACACAGGATCATTGTAACAATCTGTAAGGGAATCCACACATGGGAGCACATCCATGTGTCTGATTTCAGTTCATGGATGAGCATATACCCGACTCATGCCTTTTAGATCTACATGAACAATATCATGATTTTCCACCTCCACTCCCTAGAGATGAAGACCAGTACAACAAGCGATTAATCATTTCTGGATGCCAAAACAAAGTGCAATTTTTAACAATTACGCCAACCTTGGCCTGCCCACCTCGGTTCACCGTCTTTCCGCCTCCCCCTTTCCCTTCCTTTGGTAGCACCAAAACATCAAGCAAAGAAAAGAAAACACCCTCATTGGATTCCTTTGTGTTCAGAATGCACAACACACCTTTGCATGATTTGCATTTTGCTGACAACCTGCAAAATACAGAACACCAGAAACAGGAGAGGCATCCACAAAAATGAGTGTTTTCCGTCTCTTCATGAGTAGTCAGTGTAATCTGGGCAATGTGAGTGTGTTTACTAAACACTGAGGGTATACTCACACTAGCACTTTTCAAAATGCATCTGACTGCAATTACGGCCAGACCTGGATGCATCTGACCGCAATCACGTCCATAAATAAGGAAAAAGGTCCTGGTGTGAGCATGCCCTGAGATGCATTGACCCAGGATGACAGTGGTGCACTGCACAGCACACCAAAAACAGGAAGACAAAATTCGAAACATAAAATTTAGGAAGGAGAAAATCTCAGTGCTAAATTCCCGGTCCGACCGGGGGGTCCACCCCCAACCGGAACCGGGCCGGTGGGACCCGCCGGTCGACCGGTCCGGTTCCCCCCCGGCAGCCTACAGCGCATTGGAGGGGAAGGCCCGAATCAAATTTTTTTTGGGCCAGGAGGCCCCCACGCGGGTTGTGGGGGCCTCCTGGCCCAGAAAAAAAATCGAACCGGGTGGCGCAGGCCTCCCTTTTTGTTTCCAAAGCGGCGGCCTCTCCGGACCGCTGATCGAGGCAGATCGGCGGCCCAGATGAGGCCGCCGTTTTGAAATTTGGAGGGAGGCGGTCGTCCTCCGTTTCCCGCCTTTGCCCGTCGGCCTCCCCCACTTCCAGTTTCCCATGACCTCGCCGTCGTCAACCGTGCCAGTCCCCGTCGCCATCCTCCTCGTCGTCGACCATGCCAGCCCCCGTCGCCGTCCTCCTCGTCGTCTGTGGCCGTCGCCACCACCTCTCGTCGTGCGTCGCCCGTCGCACAGGTAAGTCGCCATCTTCTTCTTCTTCTTCTTCCTTTCTTCTTCTTCTTCTTCTTCTTCTTCTTCTTCTTCCTCTTCTTCTCACTGAAGCTTACCACTTCTGAGAGAGAGAGAGAGAGAGAGAGATCGTTTTTTTTTTTTTTTCATCTTGTACTGCTGCCGCTGCCACGTGGCAGCAAACGCCACGTGGCATCCCGGCGCATTGAGAGAGAGAGAGAGAGAGAGAGAGAGAGAGAGAGAGAGAGAGAGAGAGAGAGAGAGAGTAGGCGAGTGTGCTCGCG